ATTTCATAAAATGCTGAATTCTATGCCCCATAACGGATTTCTTGAACCTATTATCACCTACAATTAAGAGTTGGTAGGAAGTCAGAAAGTTCTTGCCACTTCTGAGTCTGATAATAACTAAACAAGCTATCTTTAAAGGTTTAATAAGTCCGAATTTAATGATAAGACCCTCATGTTGCAATGAAAATCAAATAAGAAAGCAAATACCATTATGTTGGATACTATAGAAGCTTAGTACGAGTTGGATCAGAATAAAAATTTGTTAAAACCTCTACATTATTGTCATTACTACTGCCTTTGTGTTCATCACGTTTGCTATGATCATTGTTATTACACAATACTGTGTTCCCATGAGCTCCCCTCAAAGTGTCAACAATTCACCTTTTCTTCCCATTTGCTACTTCACTGTGTCACTTCTTAATTTTACCCTGCTGCACCAACCAAGAGTTGGAATCCAAACTCTTTTTGTGAGAATTCTGAAATCATTTATCCAAGTTATTTAATCTCAAAGAAAGAGAAGCTGGGCCAATTATTTTATCTAAAAAAATTGTGGCGGTTCTTGGAAGGTTAATTCAGCATGTCATTCTTGAGCTTTTTAAGGAAAGACGTACGTCAGATATGTAAGGTAAGTCAAAAGGTTGATGGTGTGGTATCTAGCAACTCAAAATGGACTCTAAAACCTTGAAAGTGATTATAAGATTCAGGACTATTTTGATTTGGCTTAATAATAAATTCTACCCAAATGTAGATGCAGAACACGAAATGCCAGCTCATTTTCTGTATTCTTTTATAGTATGAACTTCAATAGAGCATTTGAAGTACTTTAAAAATAGACAACTGCCATATGGAATTTATTAATTTTGATTTAAGATGTTGAAGGTCAAATTATTTTCCTCTTTCTTGGTAAGTACTCCCTTCTACAAAGCCAATACAATTTTTTTTCATGTTGTCATAGTTCCACATCCTCCAAAACATATAGATTGTTCACATAAAATATTATTAACTTTGCTATTTGTAGTTGAAGTTTAATTTACTCATTTTGAAATGCACAAGTATTCTTTTGTGTAATACCTGCATTTTTAATAGTTTCCTTTCTTCAGCGTAACTTGGCGTCCTATTAAAGTTATTGCAAAGAGATAGACTATTTCTGTTGAAAGGACAAAAGTCATATCAAGCGACTAACTCATTTTACAATATAACCATGAAAATTTTTGTAATATAAAACTTGCCGTCTTCCTATCTCAAAAGGATATTTTGGAGAGCAACTAATAAATTAATTTAAAGAGCTTTTGACATAATGTGCTACACCTATATACTCAATAAAAGTGAATAAAGATCGCTGGAATTAGTTCAAATTGAAATGAGATCATGTACAACCATAGCATACACAATCCAAATGTTTCTATTTAATAAAGATAATAGGTACTTAGGAAAAATTGTTTTAAGATGTACAAACATCAACATCTCTTAGAACATTTCCAATCATTAATTATATAAGTAAATAAAACTTTGTGGGAATTCAGTGACTTAGTCACAGACCAAAAAGAGAGAAAGAAGTACCAGTTTTTACCACTAGTGATTATCTTCTTCAATTTCATGTTCTCATGTCCATGATTATTCCTAGACTAAAGGATCTCTCTCTTTTTTTTTTTTTTATAAAGGAGAAGAAAGAGGGGGAGGAGGAGGCGGGGGAGGAGGAGGAGGGGGAGGAGGGGGAAGAAGACTAAAGGATCTTAATGAATAGAATACATCCTACCCTTCCAAAAAAACAACACACAGAGACAACTGTTTATCTCCACACATCAGTTAAGGAAGCTTTCAGAATCCCTCCATCTCATTTTAACTCTGATCCTGCAGTGTATCCAGAACTTTGAGAAATTACTAAATTTCACCTCTGCTAATACCATTAATGTATTCACCCTCTTTGCTTGAGTTAATGGCTGAAATACCTCAGCAACGCTTATGTATTTTAGCCCTAGAATGTATGGAAGAAAAATAAACACTGTGAGAAAAATTATACAATCAACCTTTGTCCTATGACTCATCTTCAATTAGCTCTGAGGTCCTGTCCGTCCCACACCTGAAATCTCTTACAAATTCTTTCATTTAATTTCTATCACCTCTGACCTGGATTTGCAAAAATCTTCCAAAACATCTGAAAATTTCCTGTCTCTGGTCTCTCTTTCCTTCAAGCAGCCTTGCACACCACCCCAGGCATTATCAGCTGGTCAGCGCACGGTGCTGGAGAACGGGGTAGCACATAGCACTATTGTCTCCCCAAAAGGCTGAGGAGTTTAGGTGATCACCTTTGGAAAGGCAAAGGAATGAAAATCAAAAGATAACAGGTGGTTATTTTTATGCTTACCTCACCCTCAAATTTTTCTTTAAATATTTTATGGATTAAATCAGATTGTTTCCCAATTATCCATCAAAAGCACAAAGTATATTCTCAGAATGAAATAACTGGAAGAGGGTGATTTAAAGCAAGCCAAACAAAGAAGTAATCAATTCTGCTACTTCTTCTGTTCTATTATAATCTGGCTGAAGACATATTTATATTTTTAGCCCATAGCTCTTTTCTCAGTCTCAGACCTACATATCCATCTGCCAACTTGACATCTATACTTGAACATCTTACAAGCATCCCAAATTTAACACGGACAAATATTAACTTTTGAAATTCCTCTTCCAACATTCTCCGAAGTCTGGCATACCGACATTTTAGGATTTGATCCTTCTATCCTCCCACCTGAATTATCTTTGATGACTTCATCTCCTACGTGCCACTCATCCAAGTCTTCTTGATTGTATTTCCAAGAAATATCTAGCTTCGGATCATTTTTCCTGCACCCCTACTGCCACCATCCTGGCCAAGACACCTCCTTTCCTAAACTGAACTCTCTCAACAACCACATGACTATCTCTCTGCTTCTATTCTTGCCCCTCTTGTCCACTCCCCACAGAGCAGTAGAGTGAAATTTTTAAAGCATAAATTATATAAGATCCCTCACCTGCTTAAACTTATTTTCACTGGACTGAGAATGAAACATATAAATGTTCTTAGAGCAGTCTGCAAGCTCCTGCCTCGTCTGGCTGTTCTCTTCCCCAGTCTCAGCTTATGCCTAGGTGTTCAGACAAGCAGTGCGTCTCACACTTACACAGAAATCCATTGTTTATCTGAAATTCAGATTTGCTGGGTGCCCTACGTTTTATCTGACGACCTCAGCCATGCCACTCTCCAATTTGCTCCAGCACGCCAACCACAATAGCTTTAAGAACTTTCCTTCTGAGCCACACCCTTTCCTGCTGTAACACCTACTATCTCTACTAACAGGGATGCTCGTATGTCAGAGCCTTACGTGACAAGCTACAGGTCTTCTCTCCAGACTCACCTTAAATGCTACTTTGTAAGAGAGTCGTCTAATATGTTTATCCAAGTGAGGTCGCACCATTAGTTTCTCATAACCCCTTATATATGATTTTCTTCTTGCTTGTATCATAGCTTATATATCTATTTATGTGGACATAAATATGTGACCATGTGTTTGGTGCACCACTATATCCTCAATGCCAGCAGAAAATCACAGATATAATAGAGCCTCAATACATATTTTTGAAAGGCAGAAAGGGAGAGAGGGTGGGAAGGAGAATGGAAGGAAGGAAGGAAGGAAGGAAGGAAGGAAGGAAGGAAGGAAGGGAGGGAGGAAGGAAGGGAGGGAGGAATTCTATCTAAAGCAACCCCACTATTCTAAGTCGATGCTGCCTATGCGAACTTTGATCCTATAGTTCAATTTCCTGAAAGAATTTACTCTCTGGACCGATGCACCTGACCTTAACTATAAAATATCACTCAGTCACTCTTACAGATCTCTTGATCGTTGGAAATGAAGATATTGGCACACAGGCTTGTGAATGTAGTTTTTGTTATTAAACGCCATGGATTTTATCATTTTTATTATAAGGTCTAACCTGATTCCTGAACACTCCACTTCCCTTCCTCACAGTGTTAAGTACACTTGATCCTCAGAGGCAGGTTCTGCCTCTGTCTCTGGTTTCCTAGTCTATTCCCAACCCAATCCTTTGGGTTTTGTTTATTTGAGAGACAGAGAGAGAGAGAGAGAGAGAGAGAGAGAGAGAGAGAGAGAGCATGAACAGGAGCGGGGGCAGAGATGGAGAAGCAGAGTCCCTGCTACGTGGGGAGCCAGACACAGGGCTCAACCCCATGGATCACGAGATCATGACCTGAGCCGAATGCCGACTTTTAACTGACTGAGCCACCCAGATGCCCCCATTGGCTTGATTTTAATCTGATAAATGATCTTCTGTCTCATTGCAGAGAACTGTGTTAGTCAAGATAGTAAAGGTTATGTGTTTTGGAATCCGAAACCCATCTCTCTAGTCTAGTCTTAGTAACTCGGTGAAATTGGAAAAGATTCTGCAACTCTCTGAACTTCAATATTCTCATTTATAAAATAAAGATAAACTATCTTCTTCATGGCACAACTATGTTGATTACATGAGGTTGCTTCTCCTCCTTAAAAACATTAATCCAAAATTCCAAATCCAAGCCTATAGATGAGCTGGATGCTACTAAACTCACCAGGCTCATTTAATGCTCCCTTCCTGTCTTACATCAAGCAACAGAAGTTCCAATACTTGCAGTGGCCAGGGAGGTAGTACAAAAAAACGAATCTGATGAGATGTAAGGGATAAGAGGAAGTAGTGGAAATATGGGTATAGAAACTAACACAGACCCCATTCAAAGAAATTAGCTTACTCAATCCAGGTAATTGTTGCCATGTGAGAACACAAGTTCAGTGTTTTTAGATCATCTAATTTTTCTTTAACAGAGGCTAGCAGTTCACATTTTTATCTAAACATTTTAAATTTAAAAAAATAATAAAAAATAAACATTTTAAATTTTAAAATACCAGGTACTGCTTAAAATAATTTTAGAACTCGGTGCAGAATTCTCAGATAAAGTTGGCCAGGGGGTGGGGTTCAACATGGAGACGACTAGGGGACCTGCTGAGCCGGTTCCCGGGGAACTGGTGTCTGTGGCACATGCACCTTCTCTCCCAGCCGAGTCTTATGGCAATGATCCTGATATTGAGATGGCTTGGGCCATGAAAGCAATGCAGCACGCTGAAGTCTACTACAAGCTGATTTCATCAGTTGACCCACAGTTCCTGAAACTCACCAAAGTGGACGACCAAATCTATTCTGAGTTTTGGAAAAATTTCGAGAAACTCAGGATAGATGTGTTGGATCCAGAAGAGCTTAAATCAGAGTCCGCTAAAGAGAAGTGGAGACCATTCTGCTTGAAGTTTGACGGGGTTGTAGAAGACTTCAACTATGGTACTTTGCTGCGACTGGATTGTTCTCAGGGCTACACTGAGGAAAACACCATCTTTGCCCCCAGGATACAATTTCTTGCTATTGAAATTGCTCAGAACCAGGAAGGCTATAATAAAGCAGTTTACACCAGTGTTCATGACAGAAAAAGAGAAAGAAGGCAACCATGGAAGAGAGAAGGGAGCTGACAGTGCACAGGCAGAAGAGAAAGGAGCCAACAGAGAAAGAGAAAAAGCAAAAACCAACAAAGGAGAAGAAAAAGAGAAAGAAGCCAACAAAGAAATCCGCAAGAGTGGTGAAACAGCTATGGAGAGTAGACAGGGAATAGCACTCTGGAAGCTGTGACTCAGCTAAGTCTACAGATACCATGATGCCACTTGCACAGACCCCTGTGGTTAAATGTATGTCCAGGGCACCGGGGTGGCTCAGTGCATGATCCCGAGGTTCCAGGATCGAGTCTCACACTGGGCTCCCTGCAGGGAGCCTGCTTCTCCCTCAGCCTGTCTCTGTCTCTCTCTTTGTGTCTCTCATGAATAAATAAATAGAATATTTTAAAAAATAAAAAAATAAAAAAATAAAAAAAAAAGTTGGCCAGGGAAGTCATGACTCAATGTACTTTTTCTTTTGCACCCACATGTCAAGGCCATAAATGATCACTAGGATATAAAAAGGGGAAAAATACAACTAGAATAAAAAATAAACAAATAATAAATTTATCTGAGGAACACAGATGAAGCACAAAAAATGAGGTGGCAAAATTTGTTTTTTCTGTTATGAGGTCTGGTCTTAATTCACTTCATATGATTCCTTCTGTAGATACAAATAAAAAAAAAAAAGCCTACAGAAACAGCTAAGTTATATACACCCATCTCAGCCTCTGACCGTCCTCTACCTACGCCAGGGCTTTGTCGTTGTGCAGAAGCAAATCCAACCATTCCTTTGTCCTTGAGAGTACAGAGTGCAGAGGCGGCTCCCTCATGGAGGGAGAACCCCGAGTCCCGAGTCCCCTGCCTGCCTCCTGGGAGCCTAGAATGCACATCCTAACGTTAGTGGAGTCAACGACAAACCCATATTCCTAAGCTTTGTGAAAAATAAATCAAGACTCTGGGGAAGCGTCGTTGCTGTTGCTGTTATTCCTTGGCTTTCTTGTTTAGTTTACATCCAGGTTGAGAAACAGATTGACCCTCCAAACTTCAGAGTTTTCCTTTAGAAAAGAAGTATTAAGGTTATTAGAAAACAAATCTCATGCTGACTCACTAGCCCTTGTACAGAGCTTACTGCAGCCAAAGAAAAATCTGTCCAGATTTATAGCGTTTGATTAATTCCCTCAGATGGCTTTGTAATAGATGCATCCCTGGAGCTTTTTCCTGGGTCATTTTTCCTTTACTTTATGTTTGTGTATTTGAAGCAAATGAACAGCCAGTAGATTGGAATGAGTGTTTGGGGTTTTTTTTATATATATAAAAACAAAAAAAGGAAAGAAAAAATAGATAAGATCAGTTATTCATGAGGAAAATGGTTGAAAGCAAAAAGCTTCAATTGGCTACAAGTGGCATCTTTCAAACACAGTAAGCCCAAGTCTTCAATAGCTCAAGGGACTTTTAGTCAATAAATTTAACAAGCTGCAACCGAGGCCAAGCTTCAGCGCAGTATGTAAATGAAAGTTCAGGAAGCCAACTTCCTCTCAACCCTAGGACAGAGTTAATAGAGGGGAAATGACAAAATGTGTAAGGAGGATTTGACAGAGTAAGCTTTTTTCTCTTTTTTTTCCCCCCTTTCCTATTTAACTTAAGGGCAAATAACCAGAGAATCTTTGTTTTGAGAAATAAGCCAAGCTGGAAGCATTGAAAAAAAAAAAAAAAAGCTTCATATATGAAAATGATATTTCCAAAGCCAGGAGTTTAAATAGTTCACATTACAGATATAGATTTTTAGGAAAGTGCCATTGTAGATAGGGAAACACTAACTATAATAAAGTTATAACATATACTACCCATTTAGTTTATAAATTAATAGTTTGTGATGTGAAATGTGATGCCCCAAAACAGCACCAGAAATATCTATTGCTCAAAGTTGTTGAACTTGTGGAAGAAAGAGAGACCATCACCTTTTACTAGTATCTCAAAACGTGGTGATGAGAAAGGATACGCATTGGGTCTGGGCCCTGGGGAATTTGAGGCGGATCATGAAAAACTGAGAATGATTGGAATGGGGCAAAGTTTACAATGAAAGAAGCTTTGGATTTGAGGGTACAGCAAAGTTGGGATCTTGAAACAGAGCTTGATGGTCAAACGATATAAGCTGGTTCACAGTTTTATCTTCCAGGAGAAAGTATTTCCTGGAACAACTAACTAAGTTATTTTTTACTAGCCCCAGTATTATTTTGCACAGACAGTAGAAGGTATATTTGGTTCCAGAGTTTTTTTTTTAGGACACAGACACAAAACTAAGTTGGCTGCAGTTTTCACTCCCAAAAATGCATATACTTCATTTCTACAAAACTCCTCTAGTAAGACTAAGAACTATTTTGACCTTAGATGCGTCTGACTATTTGACTACATTGATGTCGTGCTTTAGATATTCCTAAAAAGCAGCCCGACTTCTCATTCACTGTTTTTCTTGCTAAAAACCTAATATATTAAGGCAATTATAGTCTTTAAGACATAAGTCATTGAAAATAAATCAGAACCCTTAATTCTCAGAATACTACTGCCTGGTGAATCATCCAAACAATTATATACATAGTCCACCAAACAGAGTATTGAGTAATAAAGTTAGTTTGCTGAAACAGGGGAATTTTTATACTATAAATGATATGAAGATAGGATGCATGGTATAGTTCACGGCTGGCCTGGTTTAGCCTATTAATTTGGGTTTTATTCTAGGATTAAAATTTGTAACTGAAAGGAAATCTGGAGAGTACCTAATTCAAACTCCTTCATTTTAAATACAAATAAATAAATAAATAAATATGAGGAAATATTGCCATTTGCCTAAAGTCATACAGCTACCTCTCTTTTCAACGCCATATTTTCAGAGGCTTCAATATCTGAGAATTCACTCCCCCTTCCACATGTTCACACTCTGCCTCAGTTTTTCTTTGTCTCCCAAGGACTCTGGTCTGAAGGAAAGAATATCTCTACTTGCTGGCACTATATCCCATTGGAGTCATTCTTTCCAGAAACTCTGGATCAGATCGTGAGTCATGGCTTTCCCCCCAGGTCAGTCTGCTGAAATGTCACGAATGAGCTTCTCCCCAGGTGCCCCTTCCAGGGAAGCATCATCATGCACTCTTAACTGAACAGTCAAGTCTCCGCCTCAGTTATTGGTTCATCATTGGGATTCAGATATATTTCAGCATGGTTAGCCACAGGCAGGGCCCCCTGCCAGGTAGCTAGCCAATTGCGGGGCAGAAGATGATTCTAGAAAACAATATGGCCCAACAACAAGCCCGCAGTCAGTAAAGAAAATCATGGGCAGCGATGATCACCATAGACGCATTTGAGACCCAGAGAGAATAAAAGCTAAAATAACTGTTTTTAACTAACATATATGATGCTAAGTCCCATGAAGCTAAGAGGAACATATGGGCAAGGTGATGAAAGACCTTTGCTTATTGGGTTACACAACCCCCCAAGTGGCCCCCATAAGAAGAAGCCATGGTGCTGAGGGTCTGGAGTGTCCCCCTGGTGCCAGCACTCATGTTGAGTGTCAATATAAGGGCAGTAGAGCCTCATGAGGAGGCATCACCAACAGGATGTATAAAAGCAGATGATTACACTGCCTCATAGCCAAGAGACCTTGGCCTACAGACAAACAGAAAGCTCACTGCATTAAGTGTTAGGAATCCTGGAGAGCTCAGGAGAGCAAGTTAGACCGACACCTAGAACAGTGCTGTTGATTAGTGTCCCCGGGGCTCTGGACCTGAGGAAATATGCTACAGTCTGATTTCTTTCTCGTTGTTCTAGCTTGAACCCAAATCAATGCTTTTTAAGCTGTACAACTCATCTGTTCAGCACTTCCTTTGTCCTATTTTCTCTTTTCATTCCATTTACTTCTGATCAGCCACGCAATTAACATTTATTGTATTATGGAATGAGCACTTTTTAAAATATATTTAAGATACCCTTTGACTGATGCAAAGCAACTAAAGCGGACGTGCAGTTATAATACATGTTATTTATAGCAAATGGTTAATCACTAAACAGTCTACCATCTGTTAACACTCTCTGCTTCTCTTGAAATGACTGCTCAATTTCACAGGTATTAGATATATGACTTAGGTTTATATTCGAGTGCCTGACCTGACAGATAAGTGAGGAAAATTATATTATTAGAAAAAAATAAATAGCTTTACTTTTTACTTCAAGAAATTCCTGAACCAATTTCCCTGAACAAGAAGTTTGCTCATCTGGGCAAAATCTCTCCTCTCAGGACAATAAATTGTTCACCCGGGCAAGTAGCTTACTCCAGAGATTATTTAACAAAACTTAACTCGGGACCTTCATCTCACTCAAACAATCCTAAACTATGTCACAATCCCAATCAGTTCTTGTCCTGGAAAATCCCATCATCAATTCCTTGAGCATGGACCCTAAAGCTATATAAGCCTTATTATTTGATGGTCTGCAGTACATCTAATAAAATTAGCTCTGCTTGACTGACAGGATTTAACAGGCATTTGGGGGATGTGAGAAATGCCCCTGAGGTCCAGTTGAGACTACATCACCTCCACTGCTCTGCCCACTGCAGCTCAAGATCTTTGACTTGGAAACAGCATGCTCCCCTTCCAGCTGTGAAGGGGAAATAAGCAGAACTCTTCTTTTCTTTGAGTCTTCAACTTCTGAGTGTTATCTCTTAGAAACGAGGAACCTTGTAGAGAAATCCTCTCATTGTCTTCTCAAATTGTAAAATACTTTCCTTAGGTAGAAATCTGCCTTGTTATTGATAACACTACTGTCTCTATCTGTCCTCAACACCTTTTATGGTAAGTCCATTTGGGGATGTTCATAAGGAAGAGAACAGATAAGGCCACCCCTCAAGCAGTCTTCAAAGATTCACCAGGTCGGAAGAACTCATCACGCTGGCATCTTTACAGGACCAACATTGCTTTGGGTCGCCTATCAATACCTTATAAAAACTTTTCCTATCTTGTCTCATTTTGTTCATTAGAGTGTTGTTCTGAAAAGGATCCCTTCAGTCCAACCTACAACAGTCAACCTACAAAGAAATGGCCGTTTGTCAATCCCTAATTGGAAACAGCCAACTATTGAGTTGGGAGTCCAAGACGCAAAGTGCAAGAGCAACTTATCCTACCAGCCACTAGCAGACACTCGTGGGTTTAT